AAGACCAAGTGCCGTTTGCCGATGTGTGGCTTCCATCTCTTTTCGAAGATCAGGAATGTCCTGGCATCTGTCAAGCAATGTTCACAGGCGGACAAGACCTGACCCAGCCGATGACAGTCTCATCAGTACGCTTGATGTTCCAAGCAAGCCTGCTGTGTCCGTGCAGTGCTTTTCAGCAGCACGACTCTGCGCTCTCAAACTTTCAAAAAGCCTTCCATATAATATTACAGCGACATAAGTGCCTCGAGGACCCTTGGCTGTCGGAGACCCCAACCTGGGCACGCTAGGCAAGGCGAGACGGGTCCAAGGTAGGGATGTAGCACTTACCGTCCGCCAGTTCGACCTCCAACGTGAGCAACAGGAGCCGATGGTACTAAACCGAGACCAAAAAGCTTGTCATGCGAAAAAGGGCCCGGTGGAATGTAACCCATTCGACCTTGAAATCAGAGGGCAGGCCAATTGGCTCTGCTTCCCCCAAAGATTCTGTGACACTTGCACCAGCATTTTGTCCCATCCCACCTCGCCTCATCTTGCCTGCTCGGCTCATGTGCACCGCAGGTCACTTTGCAGTCCGGTCACAAGCTGGTCAAAGCCTGTGCCCGTCAAACATTTCACGCCGGGACATGGTCTGATGATTATCGAGATATGCCTGGCGTCTTTCATTTGCCCTGGAGACAAGCTAGCGTTCCGCCTTCGGCCCTCGCCTCTGCTCCTTTGCCTCCGTGGTAGCCCGTCCCAAGGCCTTGCCCCCCCCACACACACAGCCAGCTTGATCTAACCATTATCAGATTGATTTTTATCAGATCAATCAGGTCTTTGCCGTCAAAGACTGGTTATTACCCTACCCAAACTCCTTTCCGTTCTCCTGGCCACGCTTGAATGTTGATTCCTCGTTTCTATCCATCCATGCCAAGATGACTGTCGACGTCTTCTCCGTCCCCGTCTTCCTCGTCGTGTTCCGAGAAAGTCTCGAGACCGTCATCATTGTTTCCGTCTTACTTGCGTTCCTGAAGCAAACACTCGACGGCCCTCACAGAGATGTCGCCGTTTACAAGTCTCTACGCCGACAGGTAAGGAAACGCCGACACCACCCCCCTGCTCGACCTTCTTCTCATTGTGCCGCCGCAGGTATGGCTTGGCACGGGCATAGGTTTTCTGATATGCCTGGTCGCCGCGGGCGCCCTTATCGGCGTCTTCTACAAGCTCGGCCGTAACAGCTGGGAAGCCCATGAGAACTACTACGAAGGAGCCTTCTCCATCTTCGCCGCCGTCATCATCACAATCATGGGAGCCGCCCTGCTCCGCATCGGAAAGATGCAGGAGAAGTGGCGAGTCAAGCTCGCCAAGGCCATGGAAGCCCCCGTCAAGACCGGCGCAAAGAAGGGGTGGTTCAAGCACTTCATCGAAAAGTACGCCATGTTTGTCCTCCCGTTCATTACCGTGCTCCGAGAGGGCATCGAGGCCATCGTGTTCGTCGCAGGCGTCTCCTTCTCGGCCCCCGCGACCGCCGTGCCGCTTCCTGTGGTCATCGGGTTGATCGTCGGCGCCTTGGTCGGTTATCTTCTGTACAAGTAAGTTCTGTCCAGCACCGACGAACCCTCCTGTGAGGTCGCTGACACCGCGAATAGGGGTGGATCGACCGCGAAGCTGCAGGTTTTCCTCGTCATATCTACTTGCCTTCTCTACCTCGTCGCCGCAGGCCTCTTCACCAGGGCAGTTTCAAACTTTGAACAGCAAGCGTGGAACAACGTCGTCGGCGGCGACGCTGCGGAGCTTGGGAACGGACCGGGCTCTTACGACATCGATAAGAGCGTGTGGCACGTTAACGTGAGTTCTCGACCCCAATGAATGTGGCTTCGTGGCATACTAACAGTCGGAAAAAGTGCTGCAGCCCTGAACTCAACGGAGGCGGTGGCTGGGGAATATTCAACGCCATTCTGGGATGGACCAACTCCGCAACCTATGGCTCGGTCATTGCCTACAACGTGTACTGGATCTTCGTCATGGCTGGCTTCTTCGTCATGAGGTTCCACGAGCTCCAAGGACACTGGCCATTCATGAAGCCAAAGACAGCGCAGAACGGTGTTGTCGGCAGCGGTAGTGATGCCCAGTCTGACGACAGAGTCTCCGACAAGGCTTCGGACAAGGAAAAGGGGCCTCCTACCACGAAGACAGTTACAGCTTCCTCGTGATGACGACCAACCAGTAATGTCACGATGGCCACCAGAGTTGCGCTATCGGCTGTTGAGGCCCCGGCAAGTTAACCTGTAGATATCGTGTTTGCCTTAGGATAGTCTAGGCACATGCCACGTACTGCTAGACGCGTAATACGGCTCTGTCAATTGACTGATGGACGAATTCGCTAGTACTCAGGTGTCCAATCCCACTTATCGGCGGTGAATAGCTTGCGTGCTATCTTATCAGCGTACATGTTGCCCTCATACCGCAGTCGTTGGTCACTTGCCAACCCCCGAGTGAACTCAAACCCTTTTTCTTCCCTATCTCGCCCCAAGCTCTCATCAGCGGGAATCCACGTGGCAGACATACGGCTGTCCTTCCACTCGACCTGTGAGATGGAGAGGACCGTTGAAGACAGCATCGATCTGATGTATTCCAGAATAGGCTCCAGGCGAGTTCGAATACCACAGTTGGTATGGTGCTTGTCAATCTGGTAGCTCGGGACCTGCTTCAGAGTTGCCAGTATCTCCTCAATATCGATTACCGATGCATCTGGGATGTTATCGAGAGAGCTGGGCCCAAAGTCGACGACGCCCATCAACTCTTTGCCGGTGAAGAATTTGAGCATTTGGCCGAGTTGGAAGGAGTCGCATGCTGAACTCGAGTCATAGCCGAGTTTGCATTGTCTCTCTCGGGAAGAGTAGAGTCCGAGGAAGTGACGCTGTATCGACGCGATGGTGTTCAGCACACATTCTCGGCGGTATTGCAGTTCTCCTGGACAAGTTTAGTTCATCGGCACATGGCTGATGTGGACAGCGGTATGAACTTACGCTCCAGGTCGTCGGGCAGATTCCACCACAGCTCTGTGCGGCTAGGCTCCTCAACGGCCAGATTGCTCCAACGGACGGAGCCGCGCAGGATGAGTTCTCTCGTGTAGTTGTGAAGCCTTGGAGGCTGCTCCAAGAGCCAGGCAACCAAGATCTTTTGCCGGAGTACGTTTTCAACATCAAGAGTCTTCTTGACAGTACCGGCTCGAGCAGGTTTGGCACTTGTCAGAGGCCATTTGAACTTCAAGTCGATACTAAGGTATCTCGAGACTACGGTTCGACAATCAAACCGATCCGCCAGAATGGCTAGAGTAGTCACATGAAGCATATTGACGGAGGTGGATTGTATTTGGTTCCCATGCATGATTCTCATCAAGTCCTCAAAGACCTTTTCACGGCCAGTAGAGCGGGTAGCCTCATCATCGTCCACAATGGAGATCCAGGGCAAGTCTCTGGAGTCCACCTCAGCTAGTTTGAGTTTCTCGGACACCAGGCGAGCCAGAGTCTCGTCGACTTTACTGGCCTCGGCAAACTGCTTGTTTCCGAGAAGGTTGGCAAAGTAGCGCGAATGCTTCTTCAAGACGGCAAGCTTGACGCGATAAGCGACTTTGATGCTCGGACTCAGGTTGGGCTGAGGAATACGTGGGGCGCCAAACTTCTTCGTGGCAGCTTGCCAAGTCTTCCGAGCGGCGGCGAGGGTCTCTTTGGATGTCTCGAATGTAACGTCCAGCACGATGTCTCCATCGTCGGCTATGAGGACGACGGGGGCATCACCCGATGACGGATCCGATGTGTCATCCTGAACTGGCGCCGAGTCTTCCATCGTAAGACGGCGCAGCAAGGACGGGAGTAACTTTCTGCCGAGACTCAGGATTCGACATGTAGAGGCCAGAGGCAGATGGCCATTTTAGGGTTTCCAGACACAAGCTTGCAACTGGATCGTTGATCAGAGGAGGGAAGAAGAGTGAGGGCCTGTTGCTGGCGGGGGAGAGGGGACATGACTTGCCTAGGCCGGTCATCGTCGCCTCTGGTGCCTTGCTCTGCAAGGCAGCACGGTAATGTCACTATAGTGGGCCACACAGTGCTCCTAAATGAGGCCGGTTTACAAACTGTACGCGGAAATTGCGATGATTAGATAAGACTCGAGCACGCACTGTGATGCAACCCGCGAAGCAAGCAGGTCCATATTAGCAGATGGCAGCTGCACAAGAGCCTAAGAGGGGTCTTGGTTCCATCATTTACCCGCATTCCCAGGGCGCGCTTCAGAGTGCGGAATTGGCTGCAGCTTGGGGAGTGACACCCGGCGTGGTAACCTACCTACCTGGTAAGGCCGCCCGGGACGCGGAAAGGGAACCTCCACCTCCACGGCTCCCGTCCTTCCTTTCCAGGCCTTGTCTTCACCTTATTACGTCGCTGGGTCCATCCATGATTCGACAACCGAGGGCAAACCATACCTTCGCCTTGGCCAAACCCAATCCAACATCTCTTACCCCGTCTAAACCGAGAACGCCAACAAAATCAAACACGCAACCATTGACGGCTTCCCCCTTCGACCATTTCCATTCTCTTTGTGCTCGACACCCGCTCTTGTCCAGGTAGCGACAGCACTGCAAGAGCTCAATGCCTCGACGTCGCCGACTCTGTCACTGACATTCTCACCCCTCTTTTGCATCATCCTACCGAAGCTGCGCCGAGATCCTGCCCGAAACCGACCACGCCCTCCTTCTCGCTCCTCAGCCTGAAGAGTCGGAAGTCCATGGCTTCTGCAAGTAGCAAGGTCGTCCTACTTGAGCTACTGCAGTGCCGGTGACGCTCCTGACTTCCTTGACCGAATCCTCCCTATTCCCTAATACAATGCCAGCTCTAGTACGCTGCCACGCGCGACGAATTGCTCAACGCCATGGAGCTATTCGAATCCTGACCCAACGACTCCCGAGCCCCGGAGACCGACGATGCTTCCACAACTATTTCGTCACCCACCTTCCATCCTCGTCGATGCACCCTGACTCTCGATCGTCTGGACCTGGACATAAGCTGCCCCGCGATGCATCCACTCCCCATGTGCAGAAGCCCGGCTCTGCTCCCGCTGCTGCGGCGCTCAACATGCCCAGCCGGGATCTGACAGTCGTTCGAATTCCTTTGCGACGTGCCAAGCATCACTTTGGGGTCTTCTCGTCTAGAGGCCAGCGGCCATACAACGAAGACACAAACCAAGCTGGCACAATAAGCGTGCCAGCATTTGCCAAGAGAGGACCAATTAGTCTTCAGAGAAGGCCCATACAGAAACCTGATGAGGCTACCTCAGCTGATAGCGCACTCGGCGACCCTCAGGTCTTCTACTTTGGCGTCTTCGATGGCCACGGCGGATCCCAGTGCGCCGAATTCTTGCGAGACGAGCTGCACGGCTATATTGAGCAAGCCTCCGCAGAGTTCGGCCTTCAAAGTTCCCTGAGAAGAAGCCCTAGACATGAGACAGGGCGAAAAGATGAAGAAGAGGTTCACAGGCCTGAAGAGCTGGACATGAAGTCGGAACAGGAGGTCCGGCAGAAGATGCGGGTTCCCGAGGAAGACGCCCACGGTGTCGTAACGAATCCCGAGCGTAAGGAACCTCTGAAAGGTGTAAGCCCCGTATCAGCCAAAGTGGAAGACTTGCCAAAGGCCGTGAAAATGGAGCATGACCTTGTAGAGCAATACAGGCAGGCCGTTGGGGGATACTTCCGGCGTTTCACACCCGAATTCTTCAAACAACCTGAAGAGGGGGAAGAGACCGATGGAGACGGTCCTCCCATCACGGTAGAATCGGTTCTCATGTATGCTTTCCTCAGGGCAGACTTGGACTTTATATCTGCCCAAGCCCGCAAGCCGGACCCTGACGACCCGCGCGTTGGAGACTCACCCCTTAACAACGACGAGATACTCGGGGCACCGCATATACCACCTTCGGGACACGGCATCGGGGGCTTGTCGCGCTTCAAGGGAGGGTCGACCGCGTCGGTAGCTCTCATCTCAACGCCCACTCCGGCACCATTTTGGCATCCAAATGCTCAGTCCACCTTGGTTGTCGCTCACGTGGGCGACACGCGGATCCTGTTGTGTCAGACCACTACCGGCCTCGCGCAACCGCTGACATCAGACCATCACCCCACAACACCCACAGAAAGTCGTCGTCTGCGGCGCTATGCTCCAGCTGGCTCCATGGTGTCGGGGGATAGCTTTGGGGAGGAGCGGATCATGGGCCTGGCCAACAGTCGGTCTTTTGGAGATATGCGAAGCAAGCGTATAGGCGTATCGGCAGAGCCAGAAATCACCCGCGTCGAGATCGGCCCTGCGGAGTACTCTTTCCTGGTGCTCATGAGCGATGGCATATCGGGCACGCTCAGCGACCAGGAGATTGTCGACGTGATCAAGGAGGCCAGGACACCCGAGCAGGGCGCCAAAGACGTAGTTGATTACGCGACCGAAGTCTCGCATGACGGCGACAATGCCACCTGCCTTGTTGTGAGACTCGGCGGCTGGGAACGAAGATCAGAGGGCGGCGTCGGCAGTCTTGGAACCAGGGAAATCCGCGACAAGAGGAGGGCAGAAGCGCTTGATCCTCGACGAGGCAAGCGATAGATTCCGTTTCAATATCTCCTATGTTGCCGCTCTATTTTTTACCACTTTGTGATACCAATCTACTGCAATCTTTCAAGAAGAGACGGAAAGCTCTCAACCATCGCCAAAGTCAATGATGCGTGACATGCTTAGAGCCTCAAATTCTAAGAAACTGCAAACCCGCCAAGCTAGAAAGCGAAGTCACAACTCACTAGGTCTGAGGCTCTTAAGTCCTCAATCTCATCGCCCCGCTCGGTCACAGTCACAAAAAGGCACCAGTGCTCAGTATACTTTCTGTAGTATTCATCATCTAACTGATGTTTGGACGGGAACGCTTCCCAATCCGTTTTCTATATGCAAGCCCTCCGTAGGAAACAACGGGGGGAGAATATAATATTGTCGTGACCCAAATACTCCACGCAGTTGAAACAGAAATAAGGTGTAGTTGCACAAAAAGACATTAGCAGTATGTCGCTACTAAATGCGAGAAGAAATAACACCATGATGCAGCACCCGTCCGAGGGCCGATGAGAGACAGACGCCTCATCCTCTGCCTCCCCACCGTCTGTGTGCGAACTCATGTACATGGGATGATAGCATATGAATTCCTTATGTGCGAATATGCATGCGGAAAAGTCGTGACCGTAAGATTCGGCGCTGCCGTATCAAAACGCGGTAAACAATGTAATGATATGAACAACAAAACGCCTTTTGCTTTTATGCTTCATTTACCGGTGCATACCCCATGACGGCTTCAGCTGGTCATTGAGGGCCGCTGATGTGAAGACCGTGTCGCCAGGCAGACGGCTGACTCTACCGGCACCACTGCGGATGGCGGCCTGGTTGACGGCAGAGATACCGCTGCGGTTGCTGCGAATACTGCCGGCATCACTCATCGTGTCGGCGTCCTTGAACTTACGGGGAGGAGCAAAGTCAAGAGCGGTGAAGGTTCCCGATTTCCTCAACAAGTGCCTATTCTTGGTCAGTATGTAAGTGTAGGAAGATGAGTGAGAAAACTTACGGGCTGGGCATGGCAGGCATCTCTTCGAAGCTGCTGACCAATGGGGAGTGGACAACCTTGGGCTGAAGGTAGGGACGTCTCTCGCCTGCCGGGCTCTGGGATCGACCACGGGCGCGGTCGGCAAAGCTTTCGGGAGGAGCGAAGTCGAGAGGGTTCATGATGGCGAAAGTGTCGTCCCTGAGCTTAGCTGGGTTGGGTAGGGTGTTGAGATCGGCGGGGGGAGGTCCCTTAGGCTTCTGCCGCACCGGGCCCATCCGGTTGGACACGGATGATCCGGGTCTGGTGGTGTACTGGCTGGACATGTCAGAGCCTCGTCTTGAGGGCCCAAGACGGCTAGACATCGCCGATCCGGCACGTGGCGGGGGTGGTCCTCTTCCTCTGGGGCCGGGACCGGGGCTGGCCATGCGTCCACCCATCGAGCCGTGCATGACTCTGGGAGGGGGCGGGCCGCGGAAACGGGAGGCGTTCGGCGGCGGAGTCATGGCACGGCGAGTGACAGGCTGAGCGTAGGGCATAACGAACGAGTTCGTGTCGGGGTCGAAGTAGGCATCGCCTCCCGGGCCACCCATGAAGCTCGGGTCGACATCCTCATAGTACTGAGGGTGTCCCGGGGGAGGGCCACGGCCTCGGGGGCCGCCCATGGGAGGACCGCGAGGCGGGGGCTGTTGGCCACCAGCGCCCGGGTTGTCGGGGTCGAAGTACTCCTTGTAGAAGGATCTGATTCTGTTGGCACGCTCTTCAGGATCTTCTGACTCCATGACCTCGTCCGGCGGAAGGGGACGGAAGCCGACCGACAGTCTCTTGTTGTCTTGAACCGGAATACCAAGCTGTCGAGACTCGCGGTAGTCGTTCACCTCCACAGAGCGGCGTTGAGATCGACCCCTTTCCTCATACTCATAGTCATTTTGGTCGTAACGGTCATTATAAACACTCGCTTCCTCGGGGACGATGGCTGGAAGAGTCGATGGAGCTGCCTCCTTCTGGGGCCGGGGGCTAGAGGGAAGGGAGCCGCCAGCAGGGGGTGACAAGCGGTGAGAGGGAGTGGGGAAGCTCATATCTTCCAGACCAAGGCCAATAGCCGGGATGACCGGGGCCTGGCCCTGCTCCGCCTTTGGACTGCCAGGTAATTCAGCCGCAGAAGGAGCGGTGTCCGCCGCCCGGGCCTCGGAGGCAGCAGGGTTTGCTCCCGAAGGGCGCGGGTTGGTAGGAAGGCCCTTAAGAAGAGCAGGAGAGGGTTCCGGAAGATCAGGAATCTGAGGAAGTGATGCTCTGTTGTTCTTGTCGTCGGGGTAAGGCACAGTCTCGATCTGGGGGATGATGGGCTCGGCAATGAGGGGGCTTCTGATGACAGGAGACGTGGGCGTAGCGATGACTGGCGAGATGGGCGTGAGACCGTCGGGGGCAGGAGATCCGGATCTGGACTTGGGCGTAGCAAAGGGGTCGGCCGTGACACCTGGGGGCTTGGGCAGAGAATTTTGTCTCGGAGGCAGGGTGCTGTTGGTCATGGTGGTGCGACCGGTCATGCTAGAGTCGCGTCTCTGGCTCGTCGAGCGGCTGTAAACGGAGCCGTTGGGCTTGAAAGATCGGATCGAGCCGACATCACTGCCGGCATACTGAGCAACGGGGCGGTACGGGTCTGCCTCGTTGTGGAGAGTTCTTGCGAGAGAGTGCAGAGACTCACGTGAGCTCTGCAGGCCGGGAGGAAGAAGGTAGGGGCTGGACAAGTTCATGTCCATGGACAGTTGACGCTTCTTGGTGTCGACGCCCATTCCCTTCTCGCGGAACATCATGCTCTTGCGTTTTCCGCCCTTATCGGAACTGGTCTCGCCCAGTCCGAAATCCAAGCCACGGTTCGGGTCATTTGCGTCCTCGATCTTCTGCTTGGCCAGGTTCCTTCGGTGGAAGTAGAATAGCAAGCACAGAGCACCAACGATGGGAATTCTACAGACTGTCAGCCTACACCCGTCGTGTGAACTAGACATGTAACCTACGAGACTCCGAGGGCAATGGGCAAGGTCAGAGCGGACTGGTCGACAGGCTTCTCGCACTGGTTGGCGGATCCGGTACATTCTGCTCTCGCGCCGATGATACGAGAGGCGATCTGAATGACCTTGGCGGGAGTTGGCGATGTTGCCACGGGGTTGACGTCCCGGATGGGAATCCGGGAGCCCATTACGTAGCCATTGCCGTTGAAAGTTGCCATCGGGATATTGTGGTTTCAACAACTCGGGGGGATGATTTCGTCACACAGCTCTCAACTAGCAGCTGTTCGTCTCGGTAGATTTGTCGACGGTCGACCTTGGGCGTTTCTCCTTCCTTCTCTGAACCGGTATCGCGTCTATAACAGCATAGCCTAACGGGAGGGCGTGTTGATGAATCGGTACGGGCGTCGGGGTGTTGCACAGGGCGATGAATTGAACGACACCAAAGGAACTGGTCGTTGTATGCGATTATCGAATCGTACAATCCTCCTCGGAACGAACAAAGACGACAAGCGAGAGCGGGTTTCGGGGTAAAAGAGCGACAGGGCGGTATGTATCCGTAAGTTGGTAAAGAACGACTTTCGAGTTTGACCGTGTTGTTGATTAACTCCACCGATCCATTCACACAATCCAAACAGAAGGATAAAAAAGAGTGACTCGCCCGCTGGCAGGCAGTTGTTTGGATGTGGAAAGCCGGAAGATGTCACTGGCGTAACGACCGACGATGTGGAAAGGATGGGAGGGAAGGGGAAAACGAGAGTAGGTCCCTTTTGGGGGGTGCCAGAGGCAAAAGAGCGTTCAGGTGAGAGTCGATGGGACTGAGGAGGGTCAAGAGGAGTCGAGAGAGGAGCCTGAGGAGGCTACCAAGCAGAAAGCGAGAACGGGCAAAGCACCGGAACCTTCAAGCGAAGCGAAGCGAAACGAGCCAGCGGGAGAGGCCCAAGGAGATTGAGGCAGAGAGCAAGAGCCAGTGCCAGCAACAACGGTTCGTTGGCGTTGGGTACCCTGACCTTGACCTTGACCCTGACAAGCCATGGGGGGAAGAGAAGGGGAGAGAAGGGGGGCCCTGGCAAGCTGTCGTGGTGGTGACTGGCCATTGACCTTGACGCAGGTTGACATTGATCCCAGACGTGGACCTGGGCCTAGGACGAGGGAAGGGCTTTCTTCCTTCGCAGAGTAAGGCAAGGTACGACGAGCCTGGGCCCTTGCCTGGACTAGGATGACAATGGGTCTTCCACTTGCACTAGAGAGCCGTGGACGCCGTGGTAGCACGGCAGAAAACTGCCACCATCGAATGGAGTTCAATAGCAAAGATTGGGGGGAACCGCTAAGAAGCAGACGAAGGGGGGTTAAAGGGGGGGTGGTGCCTGTCAAGTTTGGGATGGCGGACCGGGGTTGGAGGGGCCGCTTTGTGGACACGGGCGAATGAAAAGCAATTTCAGCAAATGAGCCGGGGCTGGCGCGACTTTTTCCCCTGGGCCGTTGTCGTCTTTTTTCCTCACCCATCACACCTTTCTCTGCTCTCTCTTCGCTCGTCGCCGTCTGTCTATCGATATGTCTTGCCTTTTGGGTGCATCATCTCAACTCAGCTGAGCTCACCTACCTACCACCTACCTTACCTGCAGACAGAGTTGCGGCGGTAATCCCACTCAAAATACTAAATACGGTACTCCGGCTGAGATTGGGATGCACCAGCGCGGCGGCACACAGACTGCTGCGTCTGCAACGTTTGCGCCCCCCCAAACCTCTCAATCTCAATCCCATCCTCAATCCCAATGCAAATCCAGCTCCTCCATCCCATCGATCCTCATCCCCCAGTCTCCCAGGCACAGGCGCATGCTGACTGGCCACAACGACCGAGCACTCCCTACAAACGTTGCACTAAAATCGATACACGCGCATGGTGCAACAGGGGCTCTCCTCGTCTAGCGCAGGGATTTATGCAGGAACGCGCCCCTCCTTCACCAATTGCAGCTGCACTGAGTGGGGACGCCGCACACGCTGCTCATCAGGTTCATTGGATCAGACGAAAGACGTTGGCCTTCCAGCTCGCGCCGCTGCAAAAGAAACAGCGGCAAGCCCAGCAGCAGTCAGCAGTCAGCCCGCCGCTGGATGCGACACACAGGCGCTGGACACCGTGCAGATGATTTGCATCCGTCGCCATTCGCCCAGTCGCACAAGCCATGAGCCGCCGCTTCAGACACTGTCACACTGTGATCATCCCAATTTTGCGACCCGAAAAAGAAGGGACAAACCACAAGAAAAGAAACACACTTCAATAAACACAGGCCGTCCCTGCCTGTCTTGCCCTGACGTGCCCTCAATGGCAGCCTGCCTTGGGTACCTACTCGTCAAACACCCGCCGCCCACACTCCGACCGCACACACACAACAACGTCTCAATGGCTGCACCCAGCACCGCACAGCGCGCCAATCTGCCCGTTGTCCTAGTGGCTTCAGTGGCTTCTAGATCCTCGGCCGCCGTTTCTGGATCGAGTCTGGTCTCACACTACCCCGGCAATGAACGCATTGAAGCAGCCTGGAATATTGTGAAAGTATCGGAGTACAAGACATGTCAGCCGCCTGTCTCTATCTCTCTCACACAGTCACAGCGCGTGTGGTGCTGTGTTTTGTCGTGTCTTGGAGCCTCCCGCTGCGAAACCGCGTCCAAACCCAGCCTGGTCTCTACCGAAATTGAGGCCGTCATCGGCTCATGGGGCTCTGCCCTCTTCTTGGAACCGCCCGGACATGGAGTCTCGATTTTTACCAAGGGGGGCCTTGGCGGTGACGACGACGACATCAACAGGAAATGTGCAACGGGATCATTGACAATGCGTGAGGGTCTCGATGGCCACCCAGCGGGCACTCCCGGGGGAAGGGGGGCAACTTGAAAGTCGAGCCTGTATCCGTAAAAGCCTCTCCTGATAACCTCATTCGGAAAACACGGTTCACGATTTACGACGGCAACTCCAGCAAGACTCCAGAGGCTCAGCCTCCCTTTCCGCTCCCCACCGCCCTCCCTCCCCGCAACCGCCTTCACGATCCACGCCCCGATAATGCCGCTCCTACTCCTTAAACGTCTCTGCTAACATCGCGACTTGTCTATTTTGGGTGAACTGGAATACTCAAGCCACCCGCTCCAGTGGACGTCACGAGAGGAATGGATAGGGCTCGAGAGTCTCGGTGTCTCACAGCCGGGGCATGCGCGACGGGGCGGGCGCTTCGCGCCTCCTAATTTGCGCAAGCTGCATCGGGAATCGCCTCTAGCTTCTCACCATCTTCCTACTGGTGCTTTTATGATGCATAAGTCCCTTTTGCATGCGACCGTCGTCTGCAAATTTGAACGTGCATAGCGCGGTGTACAACCTCAGTTGCTACGAATAGAGAAGCACGACATAAGAAAGCAAGCAACAACAAAACCTGCATCCAGAAGAACCGCGAACCGTCATTTCGGCCACGAGTGGTGGGTTGCACTCAGGCCCAACACCGGCGCTGCTGCTCCAGCGACGATCACTCCCTTCATCCTGGATGCAGAGACGTCCGCAAATCAGAAAGAAACAAGGAAACAAAGTGCCCCCCCTCAGACCAAGGAACTCCCGGCTTCTGAAGCTGTCGCGGCTCTCCCCTTTTACGGGGGTTCCATGGCGGCGACAACGGCGAGCCGGGTTAAGGGGCCGGTGGGAAGAGATAGCGGCAGTTGTCCGGATCTGCCTTGTACGCCGGCACGCACACGCACACACATGTTTTTGTAGCACCGGCAGCGACATAACCGATGGAGGGGATATCGCTGCATAGCATATCATTGCAATTCATCATCCAGATCCACTGCACAAACAACGCAATCACCGTCGTCCGGGTTCCTGCCAAGGCGCGATGTTGGTCGAGTTATTTTTTCTGGTATCTTTCTCCCGAGCAAATGGACGAACGACTCCATTCGGCATTCTACCCGTTGAGACTGTATGATTCAGAAAACCCGCGATACGAACCAAAATCCAAGACAGACCCTGACTTTCTATCCGAGGAGAGACAGAAGCATTCCTTCCTCTTGCGTCTGACTTACTGGCATCATCTGAAGAAAAAGCATCGCGGTGTTGTCTCATGTGTCGCGGGGCAATCACAAGACACCCATCACCTCATCCTAGAACAATGAAGCCACCATCGTTGACTCCCGCCCTGCCGTCGTTCCGGGGGGGGGGGGGGGCCGTACGTAGTGCAGACGACGACAAGACGGTTGAGAGACGAAAAGTCAATCGCAATGCTTGGCCTGCCAACTCACCAGTGAAAAGTATTCGATAATCGATAGATCACTGGCACTGCCTCCCCGTCATCTAATTAAGCTAATCTCGATGGGCACTATAAAGCTTGTCATTGGCCGAGACTTCTTGGTTTGCCCCATTTACGGATCGCTGCACCCGTCTCCAATCGTATTTCACAACTCGCGGGCACTACAGCAGTCGTCGTAAAAACTTGCGGATATCTTTCATAAAATGTCCTCGTTCGCTATCTTCCATACATAACTTCACAAAGCCCCCCTCATTGGATTTGACGGGCCCCCTTGTTGCTGACAGACCACCGAGGAAGGACCCTCTCTGAGTCTGGCCGACCAGGAACATTTTGCAACCCTGTTCGGCCATTGCCACCAACAGTCCTTTTCGACTCTTTTGCCAGTTGCACTCGGCCCGCCTCCTGAGCGCAAAAGACAAGACGTGATCCGACCCTGCCCATTGTATCTCTATATCTGCTGCGAGACACAGCTGCAGGCTGAGTTGTGTGAGCTGATTTGTCTCTGCTCCAACAGCCCAGACCTGTGACAGCTTTTATCGAGTTTTCCCTCCTATGCCGCCTCGTTTGCCGCGAAAACGCTCGCTCAAGTCTCGGTGAACAGTCCCAGTGCAGCTTAATCTCGGCTCGTCTCGTCACGTTGCGTCCTGAAGAACCCCCTGTCTCTCCCCCTCTCCGCCCCAGTGGCCATCTCGCCGGGTTTCACGTCTCAGCCTCGCGTGGCCGCCGACGCTGAAGTGTCCACCACCTGGTAAAACTCCGGCGCGTATTCCACAAGCCAGTCCTTCTCGATCTTGGTGATATCCCGGATGAATATCTTCTTGCTGGTCTCCATGACCTCGTGGAAGATGACCCAGTCAGCCTTGCGGTTGAACATGAGCGAGCTCGGGTGGGCATGGAGCGTCGTCTCGCCCGTCACGTTGCGGAACGTCCCGTCCGGCTGCATCCTCGCCGCGTGCGCAAAGTATCCTGCCGTGAGACACCGCCGTATCTGCTCCGCCTTTTTAACGTTGTCTTGGCCCTTGGCGCCGAGGGACTCTTCGACCGTGATGCCGAACTTTTCGAGATATCGCTTCAGCTGCGCGCGTATACTCACTGCGCGCGTCAGGGTTTTGAAGTTGAGATTGTGGTCGCGGGCGAACTTGGACTCCTTTTTGCCCTTCATGACGAAAGCTTGGTAGACGTTGAGCAGGGTTAAGTGGTCGCCTTCCTCGGCCGCAAACAGCCGCCTGGAGGTCTCCATCTGCTTGCGCTCGCCGTCGTGGTAGAACCAAACGTTGTTCCCACCTGCAGAGGTCATCGCCGCGATGGTCAGGATCTCGCTGAGGCAGCCGAATGACGACGCGCTGAGGAGAGTTTTGCCCATCATCGGCTCGACGGCGATCTCTGCCATCCTGTAGCCCAGTGGTTTCGTGAGCTTTGCATAATCGTCGAGTGCTCCCAGTGAGTAGAGTAGTTCCAAGGCTTTGGCCATCAACTCCGCCGGCGGTGGGCTGAGGAAGTTAAAGCGGAGGACGTTGTCGATGCCTAGCGCCTTCAGCTGCAAGATGAAGGGTGCGAGATTAGACCGCTGAACCTCAGGGACGGTGAACTCGGGTAGACTCAAGAAAGATTCTTCGGTGTAAAGTCGGAAACATTTGCCCGGTCTCGTACGTCCTGCTCTGCCGGCGCGTTGGTTTGCTGAGGCTTTGGAGATTGGGGTCGAGATGAGAGACTCTATGCTCGTCGTGGGATTGTACGCCCTGAGCTTGGCAAAACCACAGTCGACGACATAGACAATACCGTCGATGGTGATGGACGCCTCAGCGATGTTGGTCGCAAACACGACCTTTCTTGTGCCCTCGGGCGGCTTGTCGAAGACATACATCTGCTGTTCCGTAGTGAGACCCGCGTAGAGCGGGAGTGCCTGCAACTTCTTTTCTTGACTTCGCAAGTTGAGGAGACGATCAGCGACGGCCTGGCAGGCTTCATCAATCTCCTCGCGGCCGGTGAGGAACACCAGGATGTCTCCTTCGTCTTCGTTTTCGTGTATGTCAAAGACAGTTGAGATGGCCCTTTCGAAATAGTTTTCCGTCGGTGACTCGAGATAGAGTAGGTCAACGGGGAAAGTTCTTCCTTCCAGAGATATGATGGCAGACTTATCGTCGCCAGAAGTGGCAGCCTTTGTCGCGCTGTCATCGCCCGGTTTTGTCGTGAGTTTCTGATCCCCGTCACCTGGGCTGGTTGTGAAGAACTTTAGAAACTCTTCTGCCTGCAATGTGGCGCTGCTGATTATGACACGCAAATCTGGTCGCTTCTTCAGAATCTTCTTGAGCAGGCCTAGGAGAATGTCGGTGCTGATGGAGCGTTCGTGAGCCTCGTCCACCATGATGACGGAATACCTCGTCAGCAGTGGGTCTACAAGAGCCTCTCTGATGAGCAAACCGTCGGTCATGAACTTGATGCGAGTCTGGGCGGAGGTGGCATCTTCGAAGCGGATTGCATAGCCCACTTCCTTGCCTATCTCGCAGCCGAACTCTTCCGCAACTCGCACGGCGACCGTTGTCGCAGCGACTCTTCGAGGCTAAGGTAATATTAGCATGTGCCGTCATGAAGGTTGAGATTTTCGAGTAACCTACCTGCGTGATGCCAATGACCTTGCCATCTGCACACCATCCCGCTGCCTCGAGGAACTGGGGAATTTGGGTGGTCTTCCCGGAACCGGTCTGACCAACAACGATGGTGACCTGTTTCGTCTCAATGAGATAAAGCAGCGCCTTGCGGTGCTTAGCAATTGGCAGCAGCGCAGTCGGCTTATGCAAGGCTGGGATGAATGCCGAGTTGAGGTCGAAGTCGGCCATGTTTGATGCTGAGCTTCAACAGCTTTTGAACGATGCCGAAAGAAAGAAATTGCACTTCGCGAACGACAGAAATACCGCTTCTTAGGCAGCTGAATCCTGTGTATAAGTATTATGACCTTTACATTGGCCTCAGCTTATTATTTTGGCCTCAGTTAAACATCGTGGCAACTGATGCAAGCCACTTGGTGGTGTTGTAAGTGCTTTGGCGGCCTACCTGCCTCTTCGGGTGGGTGAAGTCGGTGGTAACTGTGTTTGCCAAATAAGCCAGCTGCGACCAGCTGTCAGGTCACATGGTAAGCGTCAGCTCTGGCAGTCCAGTCTCAAACGATCTTTACCCGATTGGCTCAGGAAAACCCACACTCATCACCAGCCACCAACCGCCAGTCAGCGCTGTGCCTTTCGAATCCTCCGTGGCTGTGACGCAGTGGCTCAGGAGGAGCTCAAGCTCCTGTCCCGTGTCAAATTGGCCGCCTGGAGGCGCGGGCGCGGCGTCATCAGCAGCCCAGCTCGCAGCCCACTTTAATATCATCTCGCCAGCTCCCTAACCCCTCGCTCGGCGCAACAACGACCTTGCACAACAACCTTGGGAGAACAGTCCTTCTTAATTGTCTAAAGAGACCTTGCGTTTAAGGCTTTCATTGCGACCCATACTGGTCACACATATTCCAGGTTCTCCAACTTATTAAGTAGCCGACCTGCGTAGTCATGTCTGCTCCTAACGAAACAGTGCGCCATCCCGCCTCGAAACACTCTACTTTATGCGATGTTCCCTGCGGCTGACACCTCATCTCTGTTGTGACTTTAGAACAAGAACACCTCGTCCAGTGGACCCGAGTCTCCCACTACAGTCAAACCCCTGGATCTCAGCGACGACGAAGACGTCCAGGAGACTGGAATTCTCGGCGGTGAAGACAATCATCAAACCAACACCACCGCAACCACCACCACCGCAACCACCAACATGGCATCCTCGACACCCGCCACCGAGGCCGCCCCTCCGAAGCCCCCGAGGCCTTCTACCGAGAACCAGAAAACCGAGGATATTCTGAAGGAAGCATTCCCGAGCATCGACATCGCGGTTATCAAGGCTGTTCTGAGAGCCAGCGGTGGACAAATCGACCCTGCCTTCAATGCCCTGCTTGGTGTGTCGCGTGCCCATCCACGTTCCGGCCCACAACTAACAATGCATCATAGAAATGACGGATCCCGATGCAGCTCGTAACGAGCCCGAGCAGGAGAACCCTCCTCCCCAACCCCCTCGTCCCGCCGCCGGCCCCCAGCTGTCTCAGCTCGAGGCGGACGAGCTTTACGCCCGTCAGCTTGCTGAGCACTTTGATAATGTTGGCAACTATGAGGCCAGGACTGCGAACCGCAGCCCCGGCGGTCGCGTCAGACGCCAGCAGACTGGTCTTGAGCCCCGGGTGAATGCCGAGGACCGTGAGCACAACTTCTTCGACGACGAACTCCCAGTCATCCAGGAGAAGCTCCGTAAGGGCTTCATGGAGACCCAAGGCAAGGTGAATAGCTGGATCACGACCATGAAGAAGAGATTCGATGAGGAATTTGCCGAGGAAGATGAGCATACTCAGCGGCCTGGCCAGGGCCAGGGACAGTACGGTGGCAGACGTCCTGGGGAGTCGAGCCGTAGGAGCGGCGACTACGAGAGATATGACGCCGATCCACAGGTGCTCAGCGACGATTTCGCAGGCATGAAGTTTACTGCGGATGGTAGTAAGTATAGACTCATGGTTGATAACAACCAACCCAGCGCTAATCGCGAAGCAGCTCCAGTCCGCGGTGATAACAGGCCGTTGTCCAACCCTGATCTCTTCAAGCCCCCTCCACCCTCCAAGTCGCCCAAGCCTGACGGGCGCAAGGTCGCTTTCCGCGAGGGTACTGAGGAGATTGACGTCTACGGATCGTCGCCCAGAGTGTCTGCCGAGGACAGCACGGGGAAGGCCAAATCTAGCAAGTGGCAGCCTCTCTCGACGGTCGAGCCTAGCCCGATCAACGACAATGACCCGTTCAGCTTGGGCGATAGTGAGGACGAGAGAGAGGCCAAGGAGAAGGCTGCGACAAAGGACGTGAAATCAGACGACAGCGAAAGGTTGAAGAAGGCCGCTGCGGAGGCAATGGCGGACAGCCTTGTCGATGCCAAGGATGGCGAGTCGGCGGGTGCGGCGGCCAAGAAGAACTGAGTAGCAGAAGGCGATGGGAGGCATTGTGAGATGGAAAAAAACTGTTGGTTACTGGTTCCTACGACTTTCATTTGCAGATATCCAGCCCCTGGCTTGAGCAGCAACAAGAGCCTAGCAAAGGGTCATCGGGAGGCAAGGGGATTGGGGCACCCTAATTTGTTTCTGAGGAAGCGTAGTCATCACAATCCTAAATTGAATGCATTTGCAGCAGTTGACAATGTGCTACTAGCCGTGACCAGTCAGTTGGATGTGGAAAATGAAGGTCAGACGGTGGTGGACGATGATAAGTCGTCGGCGAAGTCCGCATGTCGTGTTGAGGGATGTTAAGAGAGGACGAATCAATGAGAGATCTGCATCTGACGTCGTCGTGAGACATCTCATCTGCGGAAACCCGTCGTCGGAAGTGGAACATTGTCCCGGTGAATGACGCGGCAACACGCGGATGTAAACAGAGGAGCGCCAAGGGCAGGGTCCGGTCCATCAAAGGACTGGCCAGACCCCGAAGTCTGGACTTCCGGTAGAAGGCGATGCTATGTTGAGGCAAGCTGGGTAGAAGACGAGAATAGGACGCACAGCACTGCAGTACGCAGTAGGTAACGTCGCAGTTGAAGACAAGGGACCCGCTCGACGAGCGATCTGAAGAGAGAGGCACTCGGGTTTTATTACCGGGCCGACTGCATGACGATTGTTACGATCTCAATGCTACTGAGGGGTTGCCATTTTCAAAGTCCCTCAACGGCTTGAAGTTTATAGGAAGGCAGGAGGGGCTTGGAACAAGGGAGAGGACCTCACGAATTGGAGGTTGCTGCATGGTGAGGGGACGTGGAGCTCGTTTGTCTGCCCCGCATCAAATTTGTTTTTCAGTTTTTTTTCTGCCCAGCAGCCCGGCTACTTCCGTACAAGTTGGATGCCGTCTTGCATTTCTGCTGCAGGCGTTGCACTTTGGGGACCACGAGACTGGCTGTCGTCGTTTTTTTCGATTCTCTCTTTTTTCTTTTTTTCTAGGGACCATCCAGCTTAGCTAATGTTAAGAACGTGCTCCAGAATTGTGGTCTCCTCTGCGGAGTAAGGTGGTTTCCAGCGGAAATACGGAATTTGGGGTGCGGTGAGGGTACCCAGACATAGGTAAGTGAGTTGAGCAATGAAGAAAGAAAGAGAGAGAGAGAGAGAGAGAGAGAGAGAGAGAGAGAGAGAGAGAGAGAGAGAGAGAGAGAGAGAGAGAGAGAGAGAGAGAGAGAGAGAGAAAGAGAGAGAGAGTAGACAGCTGTTGGAGCATTACGGTGGACTTCAAGGGTGATATGCCGTGGCTTTCTCACGATTGCCCAGAAGAGACAGAGTCTTCCAGGCTTAGGCTTTAGCACAGAGTGAAACAATTCCGAGGAGAGAAAATGTCTGTCACGGGGGGAAAGACAAACTTGGAGTCCATGTTTTGGCGCGGAAAATTCTTTCTGGTTTCTTGGATTTCGAGTGCTCGGAAGCATGTCGTTGACATATGTCTTGACATGGCGTCTTGGGGATTCAGCCTCGCACTTGGCATGTCGAGCAGAAAACGTGGTTCATCCGCGAGGCGCTATTGGCCGGCGATCTGAAGACTTGGCTTTGAGGGGTGACGCGAAGAAGGGGGGGCCTACCACGGTTCATCCTTGAGCAAGCAAGCTGTGCCGCTGCTGACAGCAAGTACCCAACTACTTTTACCTGTTACAGGCAAGTACACACGAAGTACGCAGGAGACGTAGGCCAGTCGTACGGTTCCAACAAAGTACGAAGCAAAGGTGCAAAGGTGCCTTGCCTTGGTTGGCTGGCATGCGGCTAGAGGTACAGCTAGCCGGCTGCAGGACTCGAGACGAGAGTCGGAGAGAATTTTACCATGAGCGAGTATTTTTGTCTCCAAGATGCACGAAAAAGCAAGTCAGGAAACCCCACGTGCTCAACTCCTCGACAGCTCTCTTACCTGGCCTGGAAGCGCACGAGCGTTTTTGATGATGTATGGAGTTACCACGTCTAGGTTCTGCCATGTTCGTGTGCTCCTCATGTACCCGGCTACTGCTGCATAGTAAGTAGTATTAGTAGGTAGATATGCGTCGAGACTGCGTGCAGGGCATGTCACCCGTTCCGTTTTCTCGTCTTATGAGCCGTCGCGTGAAGCTTCCGGAGTAGGTAGGTAGGTAGGCATATGCTCGGGTTACCTGAAGACGACAGGTGTTCGCGATGCAGCCAAGTGGCCCATCGACGTCTGCGTTGTGTGGGAGACTTGCCCAGTACAGACATACATATTTAGGTAGGTATGGACTGCCCAAGTAGAGATACCTACGTGAGAGCAGAGATGTCTGTTGCAGTGCGACGTGCAAGGGTGTGCAGAGCTGCGAGAGGTACCCCGCACCTGCCTGTCGCTAACACAAGCGGGCAGTTCAGTGTGAGCGGCAAGCAGCAGCAGCAGCAGCAGCACCAGCAGGGGGGCCGCTGGAGGATGATCGGGATGGACAAGAGCGCACCGGCTGAATGCCCCACAATTTGGCCATCGCTGTTGCTGAGTAGCCCCTCCAATTGGACAGACCGGCGCAGTGGTTGGCCAAGAGCCGGCCGGCGTCCATTGGACTTCACGGGCTTGGGTTGGGTTCTAGTGCAAGGTTCTGCTCCGGTCCCCAGTCGCTACCTACCTTACTACACCACCTGCACGGATACCAACCACTGACCAACCCTACCCACTTGGCCTTGGTCCCCCAGTCTCCATTCAGTTCGACTTTGGAGAGCCTGCCCGTGGTCCATGGAGCTTGCTTGACAGGTCCAGCGAGAAAGAGGAAG